CTTTGTGATCCGAGCAGAAGTCTCTGCTGAGATCGCTGTGGGTCAGGCCCCCCCTCTGCCTGACCTATAGCAATAGTGGGCTGCAGGGTTAATGGGATGGGAAGGCTGATATGTGGCTCTGCTGTGTCTGGACACACGACAGCAGATTTGGACACCCACGGGGAGGAAGGAGCTCTTGGGCTGGCTCCAGAAGGCAGATCCCTGGTTGGGCTGAAACAGAGCTGAGAGAGCTGGGAGAGTCTCCCTCTGTCAGGCAGCGAAGTCTAATGCTCCTGCTAGACTGAGTGTATTGGCTCATCAGCAAGTGCACAGGGAGACAGCTCAGGACTGTGTTGCCAGCAAGGGGGTGGAGCTCTGGGGCTCCCAAGAGTTCCCAACCTGTTTGGCCAAGGGAGTTATGGGGAGGTATTCTACACCTGCCCTTACTCCTAAGGGGAGAGGTCCATCCAACCTTCACCCCTTGGGCACCCTTCCCACTGCTGGCAAGTCTTTAAAACTGCCAACTCTACTTTTGTCTCAGGGGTACTGGTGGAGCATCCCTGTTCTCCACAGTAGCTGGAGTCAGCCTCCCAGAATGTCATCTGTCCCTGGTGTCCAGCCCTGCTAATCACCAGGATCCAATGTAATGTCTGCTTGTGCTACTGGAGCAGATCTCCTTGGCAGGTGTGCAACAATCCTGGGCTCCTATCTCCTCTGCACTCTGTTCCTCTTTCTCCCACCTGTGGGCTTGGGTTGAGGGAGGTCTTGAGTCCCACTCAATCACTGCTCTGCTACTTTACCCTTTTCTGTATGGTCTTCTCTTCTTCCCCAGGTGTAGGGGGTCTGTTCTGCAGTCCTCAGGTCATTTTCAGATTTAGTTATATTTGCTGTATTTCTTCTTTTATGTGTTTTTGGGAGGAGGTTTCCAGCTTGCCTTCCTATTCCTCAGGCTTTTTCTCTCAGCATACATCCCTTTTATAATAATTTTTAATGGTTAAAGTAGTAAAGGTACCCTACCTGAAGCATGTCAGCAGTTCCAACACCACAGGATCCCTCACATGTTCCTTTTTTAGCCATTGGCATGTACCCTCCCTCACTTCCTTCAGTGCTTAACCCCCAGAAACCACTAATATGTCCTCTATTTCTAAAATGTATCATTTCAAGAAGTGTTATATAAATGGATCAGAGTGTGTAATCTCTTGGAGTTGGCTTTCTTTACTCGGCAGATTCCCTGGAGATCCATCCAATTTGTTGAGTGTATCAGTAGTTGGTTCCTTCTTATTGCTGGAGAGTACTTCAGGGTATAATGTGCTGTGGTTTGTTTAACCATTCACCTGTTGGATGACATCCAGTTTTTAGCTCTTACAAATAAAGCTGCTGTGAACACTTTTGTTCTTGTTTTTGTGTGAGCATAATTTTTTATTTGGGGAGATAAATGCCCCAGAGTGCAGTTGTTGGGTCACATGGTAATTGCATGTTTAGTTTTAGAAGAAACTGCCAACCTCTAATTTTCCAGAGTGGCTGTTCCAGTTTCTCCACATCTTCATCAGCATTTGGTGGAGTCACTATTTTTTATTTTAGCAATTCTGATAGGTGTAATATCTCCCTGTGGTTTTAATTGTCATTTCCCTGGTGACTAATGGTGTCAAAAATCTCTTCACATGTTTATTTGCTGTCTGTATGTCCTCTCTGGTGAAGAGTCTCTTCATTTCCTTTTGCCTGTTTCTCATTCTTTGGGTGTTGGGTTTTGTTTGTTTTCTAAACTCTCTTATTTCCCCAACATTACCCCCTTCCTCCTTTATTTCTTATTCTTTTAGTAAATATTTATTCACATGTACCATCTATTAGGCTTTTGTTATACAGAGACAAAAGACAAAGACTTTTCCTTAAAGCAACTGACAGTTTTGAGGAGGAAACAAATAAGCAGAGTTCTGTATAGGAGACACACCTACTTCCCATCAAGAGACTCAGTGAAGGCTTGCTTCCTGGAAGAGGTAACATCTGATCAGCATTTGGAGGCATGAATGTATTATTACACTTTATATTATACTGCCTTTATATTTAGGACATTAAGATAGTAAGAAATATACACTACCTTCTAAAAGCTCCAGGGGCATCATTCTTTCTAAGTAATTAATTATGTGAACTTGTCGTTAGTTCAAGGTTAGCAAACACTGAACACAAAATATTTTCCTGAGTTCTTGAGGATTCCAAGACAGAGACTACAGCATCCCAGACTCCAAAGATGTGTGATCTAAGAACCATAACTAGCAGACAGTTGATTACAGAAACTCACTTTTAGTAGCAATGGAAAGTAAGAAATTAATCCTCACCAGGGCCTTGGGAAGGTTTCTTGGAAGAAGAAGGATTTAAACCGAGATTTGAAAAAGGAGTAGAAATTCAACAGGTGGATATAAAAGGGAACAAATTTGTTATACACTCATAGGTCCCTGCATGTTATAGATTGCTGGGTCCCCATCTTGCTCTTACCCACAGAGTTGCTCTAAGGTCCTGGACCTAATGTCAGAGTCCATGATTTACTAATGGCTCCTGTTGAAAAGGCTGCTAGTGGAAGTCAAGTCTAGTTTTAGGATGAGATCCACAATCTAATTTTAGGTGATCCTTAGTCTTACAGATACATGAACTGAGGCCTAGAAAGAGCCAAATTCAGCCCATCCTCATTGCCCCTGTCAGCCAGGCCAGTAGATATGTTTTGTCTAGAAAGTTTCCAGACCCAGCCAGGGAAGTGATGTGGATTTCCTGCTCTCACTGTACTAAAAGTAAGAAATGAATTGGTGAAAATAAAATGTTACAAAGTGAATGGGGAGTACTTGTTTTAAAACGTTGTTTATCTCATATGTAATTTTTTTAGATCTCCTTTGAAGAATACAATTTTTTGTATATACTCTGAGATAAACCACATTTACCAAATAAGTAACTTACAGAGCATCAAGAAAAGATAAAGTAACCCAGCTTTACAAGCCTCTGTTAAGTAGAGATTAGAATGGTCAAGGATCTGGAAGATACTAGTGAGATGGGGAGAAAGTCCAGTCAGATTTCTTCTCTCAGAGGAAAAGAAAGGCAATCATGTACTGTAGCATAAGCAAAATTATCAGAAAGTCAAGGTCTAAATATGAAGCAGACTAAAATTAGCATGATTTTGAAGAATCTATGAGTGTAATAAAGGATATTCCATCTCCCACACTATCTTTAAGTGACACATGAATCAAGATACTGGATTTGTAGAGAAAGAGGTTGTGGCCCATTGCAGTGAATAATATTTGCATAATCACCATATTGTAAATGCTATTCGTTGGCTTTTCAGCTTTTAGAATCCACTTACAGATAAAATAGAGGAGACAAGTGTGTTTATAGAACAAGAATGGAATTTAATCAATCGCAGCAATGTACAAGCAAAGCAGACACAAACGGAGAATTGGAAATGGGGCAGGGAGCGTGGCGGGGGTTAATGCTCATCTTATGTGGTAAGAAACCCAAATGCTGAGCATCACTGATGAATGAGTAAGGGGAGATTTTAAGTTTATTATTTCAGTTAAAAACTGGGTAACTAAAAGAAGAATTAAAAAGAATACTGTAGCTATCTGAAGGGAGTCAGAACATGCCCCCTAAAATGTCCCACTTTTGCATACTAATTGCTTTGAGCTGAAGACAGTTGCAAAACTGCAGCTGCAGGAAGGGCTGTCTCACCTACTCCTTTCTACCTAAAATCAAGTCACTAAATCCCCCCAAAGAAAGGTGCCCTCCCTCCCTATGCCAAGAAAAAAAGGGTGATTATGACCAATGACCAGTAGCACCAAAAATGGACCTATATGAACAAACCTACTAGAATAGCCCTCATTTTCCTTTAGTTTCCCCCATTTATTTCTTCCTCACTTTCCCAGAATTTACTATCCCTAGTCCAAGCCTCTTTGTGCTGTCATATCCCCATAATTTATTATTCTTTGTGTTAAAAGATATATAAGGTTTGGGCCTAACAGCTTCTGCATGTGTTTGTGTTCCTTTTGAAGACTCCCCTGTACACGCAAATATATTAAATAAAATATGTTTTTCTTCTCTTAATCTGTTTGTGTCAGTTAATTCTTAGACCATCTACAGAACCTAAGAAAGTAGAAGGAATATTTCCTTCCCTGCACTCTCCAAAACTGGAAGGGCTGGAATGGGGAGGGGAAGAAATATAAATTAAATCAATTTTTTCAGGATTGGCAATTAGTTGATAATGTTTAAAGAAACAGCAATGTAAGTATGTATGAAGATAATCCCCAAAGCTAAAAACAGAAGTGATTGTCACTGATAACCTCCAGAAAGTGGGACTGGAAGTAAGCAGGGATCAGGCAGAGTCATAATTTTAATGTCATATAAGCAACTGCTTGATTGGTTCAGAGGAACAATGTGACAATCAGATATCCCAGTGAATTCTAATTAGTTAGTGTTTAAAATACTAGTTAAACACTTCAGCCATGGGGAAATACTAAGTGTAATTGCAAGTATTTCATTACATAACAAAATGTAGCTGGTATTTTTTAATTTTCCTAAATGTGCCCTTACGCAGTAAGAAGATTTAGTTCAACTCTGATATAAATATGTGCATGCCATTTTAAGAGAGATCTTGGGTTTATTTGAGGTGAGACATAACGAGCTTCTATGAGATACTTCTGAAAGGTGTAAAATCTCTGGAATGCTCTGGAATACCATCTATTTAACACAACATTTAAGATCTTTCCTTGTGTAAGTATTTCAACTTATTTTCCCCCTGAGAATACATCTGTGATTTTATAATGCCAATCATTGAAAAACAGCATTTATTATATAAACATTTGCTTTGGACATACCTATTTCCAAGGTTGGAGCCAGGCTCCAGGATCACACCTTATGAGTTGTAGGTGCCATGCTGACCAGGATGTGTAGTCCAGGAGGATACTGCCATGCAATGCCATGTATCTGCAGTGCCATCCTGTGGTTGTGATGCTAATTAGAGCATGTTTTCATTTTCTTCTTTCCAGGAAGGCCCTTATGTCTACTTATCCTTAGTAGGAAACATTGCAAATGCCAATGGCTTGATTTCTTCATTGTGTGAGTAATTTTAAATGTTTGCATTTAAAATGTTTGAGGAGATGAAATGCAAGTGTGTCTGTCAATTGAGTACCAGTGTCACATATTATGTGATTTCAGGTTATGCTTAACAGAAATGAGGGGTTGGAGGAGGAGGAATTGGAGGAAGGTGGTCAAAAGGTGCAAACTTCCATTTCATTATATGAAATGTCCAGAATAGGTGAATCTATAGAGATAGATTATAGATTAGTGGTTGCCTGTATATGGGAAGGGGACTGGGAGGGATGGAAAATGACTGGGTTTCTTTCTGGGGTAATGAAATGTTCTTAGATTATACTGATTCAAATCTGCCATTTTACTAAAACCCACAGAACATTATGTGTTAAGTTGGTGAATTGTATGGCAGGTCAATTATATCTCAATAAAGCTGTATGTGAAAAATATAGTGAACACAGACTGAAAAGCTTACAGTATTAAAACTGGGTGTTTTTCATACTTTTAATATCAGCTTTCATGTATATATATCTGTAGTCTTCAGATAACTTCCAAAAATCTTCCTTCTCCGCAGAGATATTAACTAGTTTTCCCTATCTTCTTCATGCTCACTGTAAATCAGTCAACATTCAGTAAATTAGTATTGACCCCCTTCAATGTACTATGCTAATTTTGACAAATAAATAAGCCATGCAACAGCAGGGTCCTTTGCCACTATTATAGAGCTGCCTTGTGCAAGATTAATTCTTTCAGATTTTGCATCTAAAATTCTGTATTTTTATCTCATTTCTTCCATGGTTCTGAAATAATATCCTCCAACCTGGATCTGTGTTGGGGCTCTTATTCACCACTAGTGTTAGACAAGTCTTTAGAGAATTGAGTCAGGTGCAGTTAATGCTTCTCTAAGCAAAAGGATCATCTTTGATGCCTCTCAGATCCTAGCTAGTGGTAGTTCAGGGAGCCTGAGCCCACAGGCCTGCAGGGACTAAGTGAAAGGCAGCTATACATTTTCTTGGTGAGCAGGCCAGATTAAACTGTGCAGAAGAATTACTAGGGAAACCCAGGGGCTGAGGGACCCCAGCCTAAATCATTGTCCCCCCACCCTGGTGGCCCCATCTACCATCAAAGAAAGTGAACAGCCCACATTTGGCTCAATCTCATGAAATATAAATGTCTAACACAATCTTTATTAGTCATCTCCAATTTATATTTTTGCCTTTAAAAAGTGAAAATTCAAGAGGATCATGGGAAGATGGTGGCATGAGGAGTTCAGAGGAAATCTCCTCCCCAAAACATATATATTTATGAAAATACAATAAATACAACTATTCCTAAAAGAGACACCAGTGGATGCAGTACAACAGCCAGGATACATCTACATCTGTGAGAACTCAACATCACATGAAGGGGGTAAGATACAAGCCGTGGCCAGGTGGAACCCGAATGCTCCCCCACCCCAAAACCCAGCAGGAAGAAAGGAGTCAGAATGGGGAGGGAGTGAAAGCCCAGGACTGCTAAACAACCAGCTCTAGAAATCCACACCTGGAGCGCAGACACAAGGTACACGGGGTGCTGGATATTAGAGAAATGGGAAAGCAAAACATGTGGGAAGGTCCCTGCAACCGGAGCCCCTGAGACAAAAGAAAAGCAAGTGCTTTCTGCAAGTCTTAAAGAGACAGGGACCCCATAGCTGGAAGAAGTCATCCCGGCACACTTAGCCAGCAGCTGGGAATCCCGGGGAAACTTAGGCGGCCTAAACCCCGGGGAGACAGCACAGCTCTGAAGCCCCTCACGGCACTAAGCAGCCTGCCAGTCATACCTCCAACTGGCGCAGACCCCGAGCCACCAGCCCAGTAGAGGGAGAGGGGCAGCAGGTGCTGGGGGCAGTGGCGCCGGAAGGGACCAGGAGCAGATCGCATGCACCAACAGTGCCAGAGGGGACCAGGAGAGGCTTGTGCAAGCCCACAGCGGTGGCCACCAAACAGCCCGGGTGTGGCTTGCGCACACCGGTGGCAGTAGAGCCAGAGGAGCCTGGTAGAGGCCCGCGTGGGAGAGCCCCGCATGCAGCTGCAGTGGAGCCAGAGGGAGCAGGTATGCTCCCAGCAGCTGACCAGAATCCCAGCCCAACACACAGCCACCCGGGCCAGACCCAAAGACCTCTGCTGGCACACAGCTGCCCGACAGGGGCGCCATCACGGAGGAACACACCTGGCGTGCCAGCCACTCCCTGCAGGGCTCCACGCTGCTCTGATGGAGACCCCGCCCACAGCAGCTTAGGGGACTAACCTGGGGGCTGCTCCAGGAGTGCAGGTAACTGACACAGGGAGCAGAGAAGGACAAGGCATCCAGCAAGCAGGAAAGGACTTTCTTCTCCCAGCTGACACACCCGCAACCTGCCTACAGCCACC